GGGGCTGCATCCTTTTTCTCTTTGGGAGCCCTGATCCTATTCCTGCTTTTATGTAGTGTGCGTGGGTGTCTTGTTTCGTTGTCTTGACTCAACACTCCATTTTAATCGCAGCATCAGAGCACAGTGTATGAAAACGTCAATATTGAATCCAATGACTTATGATTTGAACATTTTTATTTTAAGATCTTTGACTCAGATGTCATCGAAATGGAGGCTCATTTCTGTTTTTGTTTTTTTTTTTATGCTGACCGCATCTTTTGTTGTCGTTGTTTGTTTGTTTTGGAGTACAGTACTGATCGTGTTCCCGTGCAGGCGCATTGCTGCTGTCGCTGTCGGTGGGCGAGCAGGAAGGGGAGAACCTGTCGGGTCTGTCGGAGAACCCCGACCGGGCCATCTTCGCCGTGCGGGAGAACGGGACCACCTGCCTCATGGTGGAGTTCGCCGTCAAACTGGTCGTGCCGTACGACGTGCTGGCGCTCAACCGGATAGACGTAAGGAGGACCCCCACTCCGCCCCTCTGTTGTCATGCCACATATACACCCCACCCTCAATCCCCAACTCCCACCGCCCCTGCCACCCCCTCAAATCAAACACTTTGTTTAAAGTACCACAATAAATACATTTAGACGCAGATCGAATCAATAAAATTTTTAATTCAATGTGAAAAACACATCATACAATATTTGGGCAGATATTTTTGTTTCGGTTCTTTTTCACTGATGTTAGGCTCAAGGCTTTTTTCTAGGGTTGTAACCGGCATGGAATGCTGACTCGGCAGAATTAAATGATTGATGCTGCGACTGAAAAAGGACTGCACATCCATATTTGTTAGCGCGACTCAATCAATGATGTTCTCTGGGCATTGTGTGCGCGGGCAGCTGATCACAGAGCAGGCGTCGTTCACGTTGCCTCGCGGCGCGCAGATCGACGGCAAGTGCGGCCGCACCGAGTCGGAGATCCACATCAGCTGGAAGAACAACGCCTACACACTGCGCATCTTCTTCTCTAAGGTGCCACACACACACACACACACACACACACACACACACACACACACACACACACACACACACACACACACACCACTTGACTGTGATGCAACATAGTACTACCTCCAACCAAAACAACAACTTGAAAGTACTTTATCAGCTATCGTTATATTTCATCTAAAAGGTTTACAAAGTTTTACAAATGTGATTTTTGAAATGCTTAGATTGTGGTTGTGCACACGCAAGCCCAATTCCCACATTTTATTCAAGTCTGATTCATATTTTGTTGATTTTATTTAGTTGGGAGGTTTTTTTTTGTGACTTGTCATCTCCCGGATCAAATGAATCCATTTCAATTCTTTGCTGTGAATGTTGTTTCGAAGATGGCCTTAATTCTCGCGTGTGTCGTCGCGCGTGGCAGGAGCTGCGCGCCAAGGGTGCAGAGGTGTGGAAGATCAGCAAGGTTCAGTTGGTGTACGACACATCAGAAAGTACTCACTTCATCAACGCCTACAACCGTGAGTCGGATTATTCGAGCTTTGCGCGACATCATCCACATTGAACTCATCGCCTTATCCCTACAGTATGAGTTGAATGCTTTGGTTGTTTGACAATGTTTTTGCGTTCGCCATCAGCGGGCAAGCGCACGGCAAGCACCCACCGCCTGTCGGCGTTGGTGACGCCGGCCGGCCATTCGTACGTGTGCGCCGCCCAGCAGACGCTGACCCTCATCAGCAGCGACCACCAGAAAGGCGTCACCGTCCACATGTACGACATCCAGATTCAACCCTTCGACATGGCCGCGGATTTTGTCTTCAGCGAGCGTGAGTACAACACCGGGGCCGCTGGTAGCGTAGCGCTTCGCACGCAGTCGCTGGGATGTGGGAGCCGGACCCGATGGAATGCATTGCAGCTCACCGGCTGTATTTTTGCTGCTCAAAGATGAAGTTGTAGTCGCCGTCAGAAAGATGCGAGACGTAGTAGCAGAAAATCATTTTGTGCTTTTTCCAACTAAATTTACCCCCCCCCCTTTTTTTTTTTTTTAATCTTGTTACGCACTCAGCATACAAGTGCATCACAGACCAGCGCGAGCGCCTGGAGGAGACTCTACCGCTCATCCTGGGTTTCATTCTGGCGCTGATCATCATCATCACGCTGACCGTCTACCACTTCCACCTCAAGCTGAGTGCCAGCAACACACCACCGCAGCTACCACGCGACCGCTCGATGTATAAGAACATGTAGTGGACTTCCTTCCGCGCCTTGACCATCTCCAGCCTGGCACGGATGTTAGCATAAAACGCTGTGCATTTGGAAAGCCATTTGATCATTTATCCCATATCCTTGATGTCCATGTCCATCCAAAAAAAAAAAAAAAAAAGTGTACAATGATATTTTCCTCGAATGCTATGCCTAAAAACCTCTGCTGAAAATACTCGTCGTTGTGAGAATTGTTTTTTTTTTTCCACACTCATTGATGTCTTGCAGGCATTCTGTCCAAGAGATAGATGAGTGGAGTCGGTGCACAGATGAACTATTGATTTTGTCATTGAAATTGACAGCGGCATTTATTTCATTCTATGCAGCTGAAGTCTTTGGGTGCAGTTTGTGTTCAAATTTTATTTAGTTATGTTTCATTTCCCCACTTCCAGCATGAACGAATTTAGGTGAATTTGTTTCCGGTGTATCATTGAGTGACGTGCCGTGGAAGGCCGAGAAAAGAAGAGCGGCCGTTCTCTGCTTTCCCGCCTCAATCAATATCCCATTATGCTGCAAAGCACTCGCAGCACACCGAGACAAATCAGACCGTAAATGACGTCACCTCCTCCCACTCCGTTTGGTTCTTGGCTCCAAGCCCCTGCGGATTTGGGGGAGATGATGAGAGGACAGTCAAGACAAGTGAAGACGGCAGTGAGGGAATGCCCTGGGAAGAATACTATCAATTATTATCATCAGAAATTTGGTTTTAAAATCAGGCAGGAAGGTCAAAATGTCACATTTCAGAGGCCTTTAAATTTTTTTTTTTTTTTTTTTTTTTTTTAATGAAACATCAAATCTGAATGCTAGTACTGTGGGTGGATACCTGAGATGTCCTAGCGTGTCGAAAACCTGGTCGTGGATAACTTAGAATGAAGGGTGAAATTGATGTAGAATTATTTTCCATCTCAACTTGAGAAGTCTTCTTGGCGCTGTTCTGGGAGTTTACATACACACAGACGTGTGTGTGTGTGTGTGTGTGTGTGTATATATGTTTATTCCAAAGAATTACCAAAGTGAATCAGTGATATCCAACCAGAATAAGTATTGAACACACTTTTTATTTCAAACACATTTTTATATTTTCCAAAAGTCAAGATCAACACATTAATTTTCAATTTCAGTTTTTACCCTCCTCCCCCCAAGTATAAAACTTTTGTCCCTTATCTAACTCCATAACGCACACGCACTATGTACAAATCACAGTGACTGATGGGTCAAAATGGATGCAAGCAGGTTTTAAACTGTCGCATTACAGGGGATTTCACGACAATGACGAGCCATAGTCGTGTACTTGTTTTTCATTTTGTAACCTCCTTGTGTCAATTTTTTTTTTTTCTTTTCCTTATTGGTTTCTTCAGTAAGTGCTACAGTCAGTGCATCTTGTGACACGAGTGGACAAACCCATTTCATTGGCTCCCTGCAATTGCCAAAGATACACTCAAAGCATAAAATCCTGACTTCAGTGATTTTATATATATATATATATATATATATATATATTTTTTTTTTTAAGTATTTCAATGACATGTTTTGGACATATGTAGATGTTTGTCATTTAATTAATATGTTGAAATTTGTGAAAATGTGTACGGCTGGCACTGGTGACATGCTTGTATCGTTTTAATCAATCGGTGAAATAATCTTTGCAGATTTTTTTCCAGCAAATGAAAATCATTGTGTTGATATAATATCAACAGCATGATGTATACGATACATCGTGCTGTTGCCGCATCGTTCATCTTGAAACTATACATTGTATAGTATCAAGGTGAACGATGCTGCGTTGGCTCACTTAAGAGTGAGGATTCTGCCTGACAGCAATGATCGAGTTTTGCCAACATTAGTCTTTTTTTTTTTTTTTCCACAACATTCATGTGACATCAATGGTCTTTTTTTTTTTTTTTTAATCTATTTGGTACAGTATTCATGTTTATTTTAGTGAAAAAAAAGTTTCACAGGGTTTTTCTTTTTGTGTTGAATTGACAAGATCATAAAATGTGTAATCCTATTCATAAATTATCATTCAATCATTTAAATGTCCATTAATGTCTTGACACAAAAACAAAGTGAAGTCAGTTTCATTGCATTTGAGTGTATTTGAAGGGATCATTATCGACCGCTGGGTTTCGTGTTCATTCAATAATTTAAACAATAAAGAAAATGACTGATTAAAAAAAAAAAAAGGCCACACGACAAAAACGAATTGCAATAAATAAATACTTTAAAAAGCTCATAGAAAATGCCTTACCTTACCCTTTTTTGCCCAAAGTTTTGAAGTTCTGTCTACAAAGATGGATAATGGTAATATATATTTAGTTGCTTTGCTTTCTAGTTTTTATAGTAACAGTTGGGTTAAAGTGGGATATTTGGAATATTTCATGTTTGCGTGTGTATATCAAAATATGTAGATCTAGGTCTGTAGATACAGGTGTAGATCTAGAGATCGAGATCAGTCGATATATATGTATATCGTCAGATCTAGATCTGTGTATTTGTGTGTGTGTGTGTGTGTTTTTATATACATTTGTTTATGAAAAAATGTTTTCATAAATTATAAAGCTGAGGAACGTCTACTGAATACTGCTCCTATCACAATGGCTACCACACCATCAAATACTCAAAGTTATCAAAACTGTACACTCAATCTTACAAGTTGCTCTTAAAATACATGTGCAGCTGGAATGTGGGTAGTTACTCACCCACACAGGCCGAAAACAACAGGAGTCCGCTTCAGAGTTCCGTAATTTCCTCATCGTTGTTTTTGCATGTCTGTCGGTTAACTAATCTACATCACGGTTACAAGAGGAGTCAGTTTTGACAAGGGGTGGGCAGGATGGCAGTCACCACCGAAGTGTGTGTAGTGTGTGTGTGTATGTGTGTTTTCAGCGGTGGCGGTAGTGTCTCATGAGGGGCACGATGCAGGACGGCGGTCCCGACAGTTTGAGGAAGGGATGCTGGAGAAGCTCCTGTGCGGTGGATCGCTGGGAAGGCTCGCGTACCAGCATCAGGTCCAGGAAGGAACGCAGCACCGACGACACCTACCACAACACAATCACAAATGTTACTCAGCTTGTCCTGTTTTCTTCTGTCCTTTTTTTTTTTGTAGAAAAAAACATCTTACTATTCATGGTTGTTTTTTTTTTCGGCAAAAAACGCCTGACTATACATGGTCATTTTTTTGGGCTAAAAATGCAGTAGTATATATACGTTGTCGTTTTTTTCAGGGCTAAAAATGCCTTACGATACATACCATTCACAGTCACTGGTGGTGTAGAGGTACACGTTCGGTCCAGGCTCAGTGATGTGTGAAAATGCAACACCAGGCACTTGGTTACTTTTTCCTGGCAACCCTCGAAAGTGCATGTCAAATACGCCAAAAGTCAGGTGTTTTTTGCCCAAAAAACGCCTATGTATAGTAAGGTGTTTTTAACCGAAAAAAAGACCACGTATTGTAAGGCGTTTTTTGCCGAAAAAAACGACCATGTATAGATAGTAAGGCGTTTTTAGCCCCAAAAAACGACCATGTACAGCAAGGCGTTTTGAGCCCAAAAAAACGACCATGTATAGTAAGGCGTTTTTGGACGAAAAAAATGACCATGTATAGTAAGGTGTTTTTAACCGAAAAAAAGACCACGTATTGTAAGGCGTTTTTTGCCGAAAAAAACGACCATGTATAGATAGTAAGGCGTTTTTAGCCCCAAAAAACGACCATGTACAGCAAGGCGTTTTGAGCCCAAAAAAACGACCATGTATAGTAAGGCGTTTTTGGCCGAAAAAAATGACATAGTATAGGAAGGCGTCTTTAGCCCGAAAAAAAAACGACATCGTATAGTAAGGCATTTTTAGCCGAAAAAAACGACATAGTATCGTAAGGCGTTTTTAGCACGAAAAAAACGACATAATATGGTAAGGCATTTTTTGCATAAAAAAACGACATAGTATAGTCAGGCGTTTTT